CGTAATTAAGCTTCGCTCTATTCCTGAATCCCAGAGCTCGTCTGAGCTGCTAATTGGCATGAATTAGCTGTGAACAGAGGGAGTGTTTCTATCCATTTCCCACTCTTTTCTCTCCTTTTTTTTTAACGTTCCTGCTCTCGTCTAACTCTCATTAAAGGACGCACTTGAATTGGCTCCACAGTCTAATGGTCTGCCAGGTTCCTGACATCGGCAGTGAATATTAGTACAGACTTTTTAATCAAGAGACTCTCGGGCTGCCGCCCATTGCTAAAAGTACATGTACCAAAACATCTGGCCTGCCAGCTGCACTTGTATGCGCCTCTCGAAATTAAATGTCTGATTTTCTGATCCATTAGTCCAAATCTATACACATTTAGAAGCTCATGCGTCCTGCATATTGTCCGACATGCTGTTCAAACACCAACAGGGAAGCAGTTTACTGTGACATTGGCCAATCGCCTAGGTTTGGAAACAATAATTGACTTCAAATGATGTGTAGTTGTCAATAAAATATACATTTACAATAAAAAAATAACATTATAATAATACTTCTGGTTAACTTTTGTAAAAATGTAAAATGTTAAATCTACTATTTAAATGATATTTACTTTGAATAAAAGCCCCTTTGTGTGTGTGTGTGTGTGTGTATTAGTTATATTAATAAATGTATAAATAAATTAATACATTTTTATTAAAACTATATTCATGCTCTACTGTTATTTTTGCATTATCATATCATTTTTTAAATATTTGACAATCGTTGTTTGTTTTATTTTTAGATTATTGACAGTTTTATTTGTATTTATACCATATTTTGTTCCAAAACTATAAAAAAAATGAACGACCTTCTAAGAGACATTTTATAAACAAATATATAGTAAATATATAATTATGAAATGGGATTAATATATTATGTGGTTTCTATAAAATTATATGCTAGAGTGATATTAGTTACATATTTTATTTCTAAATAAATAAATATACAGCTCTGGACAAAATTAAGAGACCACTGCAAAATGATCAGTTTCTCTGGTTTTACTATTTTTAGGTATGTGTTTGAGTAAAATGAACATTTTTGTTTTATTCTATAGACTACTGACAATATTTCTTCAAAAATTCCAAATAAACCAATTGTCATTTATTTGCAGAAAATGACAACTGGTCAAAATAACAAAACAAATGCAGTGTTTTCAGACCTCAAATAATGCAAAAGTTCAAAAGTTCATTTTCATTTTTAAACAACACAATACTGATGTTTTAACTTGGGAAGAGTTCAGAAATCAATATTTGGTGGAAGAACTCAGATTTTCAATCACAACGTTCATGCATCTTGGCATGCTCTCCACCAGTTTTTTCACATTGCTCTTAGGTCACTTTGTGCCAGCCCTGGTGCAAAAATTCAAGCAGCTCGGCTTTGTTTGATGGCTCGTGAGCATCCATCTGACTCTTGATCACATTCCAGAGGTTTTCAATAGGGTTCAGGTCTGGAGACTGGGCTGGCCATGACCAGTGTTGGGGAGTAACTAGTTGGCATGGAGCATTGTCCTGATAGAAAAAAAACAATCCTCAGAGCTAGGGAACATTGTCAGAGCAGAAGGAGGCATGTTTTCTTCCAGGACAACCTTGCATGTTGCTTGATTCATGCACCCTTCACAAAGACAAATGTGCCCGATTCCGGCCTTGCTGAAGCACCCCCAGATCATGCGAGACACTGTGGCTTGTAGGCCTCTCTAGGCCTGTCTAACCATTAGACGACCAGGTGTTGGGCAAAGCTGAAAATTGCACTCATTAGAAAAGATAACCTTACTCCAGTACTCTACAGTCCAATCCTTATGGTCTTTTGCAAACCTCAGCTTGGCTTTTCTTTGCTTCTCATTGATGAAGGGCTTTTTTTTCCTAATTTGTTTCTATCGTTTCGAACTGTCCTCACCGTGCACTTCACCCCAGCTGCAATTTGCCATTCTTTTTGTAGGTCACTTGATGTCATCCTACGGTTGTTGAGTGACATTCGAATGAGTTGGCGGTCATCCAGTGGTCAGTTGTTTTCGCCCTCTGCCGGTCTGTAGCTTTGTTGTCCCCAATGTCTGCAGCTTGACCTTGTTCTTTTGAAACACTGTCTTTGAAATTTTAAGGATGGAAGTAACCTGACACTCACTGTATCCCTCTGCCAGTAAAGTCAGAATTGAACCCTTCTTTTCCTCACTCAAAACTTTTCATTTCAACTCTTTTGGTATGGTCAATAGTTATTATTTGATTCCAGTTACCTTTGAGGTAATACTATCACTGTTTTTGTCATCCAGCTGGTCCTATTGCAAGAGGATAGTGATGACCACAGCAGTGGTTTTTATACTTTTCCTTGCTAAATAAGACTTGGTTGAGGTGATCACCTAATCAGTACTTCATTAAGCAGAATTAGGTGTGCCTGTGTCGGAATTCAGCATACAATGGAATGGAATGGCTGCCATACATGTAGAGATGCTGATTTGAGAAAAAATTTGGAGTGGTCTCTTATGTTTTTTTCAATATATATACATATACTGTATACATATATGAATTAAATATGGAAACTTCATTACAGTATCTTTTTTAGTTGCTGAAGTTGAGTATATTTCCACGCAATTAAACACATTTCTCTAGAAACACATCCATTTGTTATTCTTTTGAGAGACGAAGGCTGTTCCATGCAATACTGTCTTGAAAGAAGAAAGCAAACTGCATCTAACCAGCACAGGGAGAGAAATGAACGTCCCAGATGCACAACAACAAGACAATGAGTACATCACTGCCTTTACTCTGAGAAATAGACCCCTGACTGGTGCTTGGCAGCTTCATTGAAAGTACAAACTAAACATCAACAGTCAAGACAAGACTCCAAACTTTTAGGCAGAATGTCAGAGAAGATCTAACACTGACACATAAGAACAAAACAGTAGATTGAGCTAAATAACAGAAATTGGATTGCAAACACGGATGGATAAATCCAAGTCTAAGGTCTTGTTAGTCAATCCTGTCTTACTGAGGAAAGATTAGGGCTGTTCTCACCATATATCCACCTGTTAGCTGGTACAGATCCTGTCTCGGTTTTATTTGAGCTACATGTACAATTTTGACAGGGAATAAGGATTTAAACTTAATAAAATGTCTCCCTCAAGAGCTGACATTCTCATATCAGACCTTATTCCTCAATCATTAGCACTTTCCGAAAACATTTTTCTTACTTGCAGAACCTTTAAAGGTGCAGTCCATGGTCAAGAGTAATTCAGCACCCTGTCCTTTATTAAAGGGCTGCCAGACCTCCCAGAACGTTTGCAAATGTCACTGCGTTAGAATCACTCTACTTTGACTAAATACCATCTGCCAGTATCTCTAATGTTACCAAGTCTGGCCATGTATAACACTACTGGTTGCTAAGCTAGCTGAGTACCAAGCCAAGTCCCTTTAAAGGAATAGTTCACCCAAAAATGAAAATTTGCTAAAACTTACTCGCCCTCAGGCCTTCCAAGATGAAGAGTTTGTTTCTTCATCGAAACAGATTTGGAAAAATGTATCATTACATCACTTGCTCACCAATGGATCCTCTGCATTGAATGGGTGCCGTCAGAATGAGAGTTCAAACGGCTGATAAAAACATCACAATAAACCACAAGTAATACACACGACTCGCTTAGAACTGTTTTGGACTGTTTTCACTTGTAAATGGTCTCCTGATTCAGACAAGACAACCTTTTCAGTGGAGAAAGAAAATTATGTATAAAGGACTTGTATTTTAGCTTTACACTTTACAAGATTTTAATTGATAGACTGGAGTTGTGTGGATTATTGTGATGATTTTATCATCTGTCTGGACTCTCATTCTGACGGCACCCATCCACTGCCTCTAATACTGTACTGGCTACCAAACCAAGTAAAAGCTCTGCATAAAACGTACATAGACTTAAAAATAAAAAAGGAGAAACTTCTGAAAGTTAATTCTCAGGGAAGCTAATACGCAGGTATCTAGGCTATATGATCGGAAAACCGCATGTGGCTAAATAAGCAGGTTAATGAATGATTATGAAACTTGTAGATGGGGGAGAGGATGAGTAGATAATGAATAACTGGGAAAATGAGGGAAGGTCCCTCAGACAGCATAATTAGAGAAGAGGAAGACTGTGAGAAGGCCAGATGGAGAATGCCAAGGGATGAAAAGGTCGGATTTAAGCTAGGCTTGGAATGGTGCGCTTGCAGCTGAACAGTTCAAAAATGGACTGCGGTATGTTTCAGCAACAATAAAAAGTTACATTGTACGAAAATGAATGAAAAGGACTATACTGTATGTCTCGATATGAGGGAGCTTACAATACTCTTCTCCATCATTTGATGCCATGATAGCTAGAAAATATGTACTACCAAAAGTTTGGGGTCAGTAAGATTTTTTTCCTCCAAAGAATACAGAAAAAAATGAATCAGTTTCCACCAAAATATTAAGCAACACAACTGTTTCTAAAGAAGTATGTGATAATGAAGACTAGAGTAATGGCTGTTGAAAATTCAGCTTTGCCACCACAGGAATAAATTACATTTTAAAATATATTAAAAAAGAAAAAAAGTTATTTGACATTGTAAAAATATTTCACAATATTACTGTTTATACTGTATTTTGAGAGCCCTGTCTCAAACTTCTGAATGGTAGAGTCCACAAATATATATTTTTAATAAAACAAAAAATGACTGCCCTTTATATTAATTGCATGCGAATTGGATTTTATTTCAAAAATTACGATCTTAACTCACATAAAAAAAATGCGTAGTTATGCTGAAAAATATAACTGTTTTTTCAATGTTTTCTTTTTTCATATGGCACAGTGAGCATCTAGCACGTGGTTAGCAACTGTTTTATGGTAGGTTAGTGAATAAGACTGCAATATTTGTGTTATAATGCTGCATGCAACCGTTTAGTGACGTTTATCAAAACTACAGGAAAGTAAAATTAACCATTAATTTCAGCTAAAAGGGCTAACCTTGTAGATGCCTTGATTGCAGCCATTGTAAGTGCTTTCCATGGTGTAGCTTCGGAAGACTCCGATCTCCCTCCAAACGACCACCCGTGCTGTGGACGCCCGAGACTTTTCCACCAGATAGTTGCAGCTGTTGAAGGAGAACGCAGGAGCTATTCGGTCCAGAGTTTTAGCAATAGTCTGTCAATACAAACAATGTATGAGTTTTGAAAAAGAATAATGTATTTCATTGTATTTGCATTTTTATGCCACTGTTTTCAGTTCTAGTTTTGTGTATATTTAGTTTAAGAGACTTCTTTGCATAGACGGCAGACATCAGTCAGACAGCAGCTAGCGATGCAATATTTTCCACATTACAGATTCCACAGATTTACGTATGCCTTTAAACTATCCTTTAACTCAATTCGCCACAGCATGTATGTTGGGGAGAAACTTCCTTCGGCACCAAACTTCAAAAAATGGCTCACAAATAAAAGTTTCATGTGGGATGGAAACAACTGTGCCAATCAGAAAACAATAAATGAGACAAAAAGTATGCTCACTGTATAACTGGATATAATGATAAAATAAGGACACTAAAACATATCATGCATTGTTGGCTCTTCCTGTGAGAGCAAAAATAGATTATGGGGATACAGCAATAGCTGTAAAACAACTGCAAGGTTGCTCTTTCATAGCTCAGGAGATGTAATTGAGTTCTCAGTCGTGTGACTTTGAAGAACCAACTTTGTTTCAGATGTTTCTCCTAAAATAGGAGCAATACAAATAGAAACAAATGAGAATGAATGTACAGTAAGAGTATAGAGCTGTAAAATGAATGTGGGTAACACTACCATTCACAAGATTTTTTTTTTTAGTACTTTAGAATTTAATACTTAATTCAGCAAGGTTGCATTAAATTGATCTAATCGATTAGAACAAAAATTATATTTCAAATAAATGCTGTTCTTTTGAACTTCCAGTTCATCAAAGAATCCTTAAAAAAGAACCAATTATGGTTTCCACAAAAATATTATGAAGCACAACTGTTTTCAATATAGATAATTATTAGAATAAACATATTAGAATGAATTCTGAAGGATCATGTGACACTGAAGAATGGAGTAATGACTGCTGAAATTTCAGCTTTGTCATCAAATGAATATACTGTATTTTTAAGATATATTAAACAGAAAACAGTTATTTGAAATTGTAATAATATTTCACAATATTGCTGTTTACAATGAAACCTTATTATCTCTAATAATTTCGGAATTTGATAAGAAATGATCAAGACCATATTGAAATCTGACTTTTAACTGCAGACTGGTATTTTGGCAAATCAGAGCAAAGTTTGAGACATTATTGAGACACTATAGATTTAATTGTGGCTGGAGCCAAGTGATCTATAAAACTTTCATAGGATAAAAAACTCTGATTATAGGCAGTAAGCGTACCCTGTATCCCGGGTCTTCTTTCAGGGAGGCTGTGTTAATGGGAGAACCAGATTGCCACAGGGTTTCCTTCATACTGCAGCCATACAGAAACACATTCTTCTTCCTGGAGTGACCATGGTAATCGCAAAACACCTGTGGAATGTGATAACAGAACATATATAGTGAAACAGCAAGATTGTGTTGAATTTCTGCATCTTTGTAAATGAATAGCGGCCAAGGCCAAGGAGGTCACATTGTCAGGCGAAAACAACTGTGTCTTTTTTAGCTTTCCTGACACGACAGCAACGCAACGTTAACTTAAGGCCGAGTCAAACATAATTAATCTTGTGACACAACACGCAGACACGGACAACAAGGGGAATAAAATGCTAGACAATGCATTGCATTTTGACTCTAATTCAAATTTTGTTGACAGTGTGGCCGCTAATTGGAGACAGTGCATAGCGATGAAAAAAAGGCTCTTTCCTCATTCGTTAATGGCACAAGTCACGTTTTTTCCCACTGTAGTTTCTGGGGAAATGACAATGTTCCTTTGACCAGGTTCGGTGCATAATTATTACTGTGATCAAATAAGAATTATGGCGTAATTTATATGTAAATCTGGCTAATTGTATCAAAGCAAATGTTCTTTGGTTCTTCGCAACAGGTAATTCCTGTTTAATTACAGGACTGACAATGGTCATTTCCATGCTATTCTGAATCATATGAATTCATTCAATTGCATAATTTATTTTAAGCTAGAACTACAGATGTAGCTTTCGAACAGTAAGCATCAGTTTAGCTTATGACGTCCTAGAATGTTTGACCATTTTCAATAGTGTATTCTCTCAAAAGTGCTGGTGCACCTACTTCTGTTGCTTTGTTTCCCCCCCTGACTTGCATAGATAGTGCAATGGGTCCATTACTCCATTTCCTGAGAAGCATTTTTTGAAAAAGGACAGGGAGTGTATAGGGACAAGGTAAAAAATAGAAGTTATTCTTTAGTGCTCTAACAGCATCATGAGAAGCTCAAAGGCACCAGTCAAGACTATATGAATAGATCTGACTAAAAATATAAAAAGCTTTTAATTCTGTGACATGAAGTAGAGGTAATCTAAAACTCCGTCCGTGACTCTTTCTGCAGATTACAGATATGCCAGCTGACTTTATTAATGAGACATCAAATCATTTATTCAGCTGATTCAATCAAAACCTCTGCGTCTTTATGATTGTATCATTGAATAATTTACTCAACTGATTCATTCAAAATGCAGATTTGTTTCAGGGACAAAACAAGTGACTCTTCATGAGTGAGTCACTGAATCATTTACACAATTATTTGTTCAAAATGCTGATTCATTTACAAACAAAACAAGTCCCTGCCTCCCCATTTGCATACTATCCGTGCCAAATAGTTTCTGGATTATTAATCTTGAATACTATTTAGGGCAGATAGTATGTGAATTGGGACACGGGGACTGCCTTTATATGCAAGATATTTACTCAACCGATTCATTCAAAACCCAGTATCAGGATTCATTCAAACATTTGATTTACTCACAAACAAAAATAGTGACTGTCTTTATGTTTGAGTCATTGAATCCTTTACTTAGTCAGCAAAGTCAATTTTGCCACCTTTGGCTAAATCTAATGGAAATCAAGGACGCTGACAAGATCGCCTTCTTTGACTCCTCCGTCTCTCCCAAGGGACTGTTTGGCCCTGGGTTTGCGGAGCGAATTACAGTGGCACGGAAGTCATCGCAAGTCATGTGTTACTTCCTGCCGAAGTGCTCCAGCTTGGCGGCTGGTACAAGTCGCCAGAAGGCTCCATCCTCTCAGCAACCTGCAAACCCCGCAACGCCTCCGACCCAGCCTAAATTTGAACCTGGTCTTCAGCAGCACCCTCAGATGGCTAGAAGGTACCCATACCTTAAGCGCCAAGAGTAGTGCTGGAACCTGAGCCTCAGAAGCCGTCCTGATCCAAGAGCAGAAAGGAAGAGGAGAGGGTCAGTACCCATCGAGGCCGGACTGCCCTCAAAGAAGTCTCGCACCCACTCTCCAATCCCCTGCTTGGGCGATGGAAACTCTATTCAGGCTGGGCCCATCCTTCCCACTCAGCATGCGCCCATGCAATTTACCGCTGAGATAGTGGACCCACATACTCAAAAGAGCACTTCTCCTCTTCCCACTATCACGAGGGTCAGTTCCCCGCCTCCTTGTGGTGACCTGCCACTCGAAAATCTCAGACCACTTGCCATCCGGTTCCAGGCTTAGAAAGCCATGTGTCAAGTTGGGTTCTAAAAACCATAGAACGAGGTTACTCACTGCAGTTTGCACATAGACCACCTTGCTTCAGAGGTACTATCCAAAATTTGGTGTGGTGTAACGATGCTTACGTTCTCCAGTCCGAAGTGCAAACTCGGCTTGCAAAAGGAGCTGGAGAAATTGTCCCTTTAGTGAACAGTGAGTCAGGCTTCTACAGCCGCCATTTCCTCGTTCCCAAGAAAGATGGCGGGTTCAGGCCCATCCTTGATCTCTTGAGCATCTGAACGCATTTATGAATGGCCATTCAAGATGCTGACTTTGAAGCAGATCCTCACAAAAATATGCCCTGGGCACTGGCTTTTATCGTTGGATCTGAAAGACGCTTACTTTCACATCTAGATAGCCCCCCCATCACAGACCATTCTTGAGATTTGCGTTCGAGGGGGTTGCTTATCAATATACAGTCCTACCATTCGGACTGTCTCTGGCCCCATGCACTTTTACGAAGTGAAAAGTTGGACTATGCGAAGCTTTGGAATCGCTAGATGAGGGCTTAATGAACTCATATTTGTGAAAACCTCAAATTCGACCACTTGTTTTGCCTTTGCCTAGCTCTTAATTAGCCCGTGCGTCATTCCGACTCATTTTGCCAGCACGGGTCACATTTAGTAAATTAAAACGTTGTAAATAGGAGCAATGGTAATGTATCTAGTCACACATTATGTCAGTCATGATTTCATTACTTTTGTAATATGGTTCATTTAATTCAATTCACAAAATTAGTAATTTCAAATTGCAAATGTTTTCTGATAAACAACAAAGCACTTAGATCCACCCAGGCCTGCTTCAGTCTGTACAGTCTCAAACACATATTTATGGATTTGGTCATCCCTGACCTGCATTTAGAAGTGGAAAGCTCCGAGATCATGGAGCAATTTCCGGCGAGCCCCTCGTGGAACTTTAGGATTCAATAGGTCAGTTACAGTGCAGCGAGATTTAATGGAAACTTACCAGCGGAGTCCTGCCTATGCTGTTGAGGTAATAGAGGAAGCCTTTGGTGTGATAAATTGTGGGGCTTAAATTAAGGTCTGGCTTCAGCCACTGTCTGTTGAGGTCCTCAGCGGTGAGAGAACAGCGATTACTGAAATAAATCAAAAGAAAAAAAGTAATTACAAAGAACAGAAAGTCAACTTTAAACTTACTAAAAGTCCAATTTGGATTTCATGAGCTCTTTAACGCATTGCCAGGGATCAAAGTAACATCAAAAACCATCTGAGTTTGCAATCCAATATCTGATTTAGCTTACCTGTTTGTTTGAAGACAAGATAACCAATCTATCTGTCTCTGTGCATGCCTGTGTATCTGTGTGAATGTTCAAACGCTGGAATTGTGACGTTCCCATATCAGCGTCTACCTTTACAGGTTACTGAAAGGTCGGCGGTGAACAGAGCTATCTAGCGCACCACACAACCAGTCTGTTGATTAGAGAGCAAGCAGCAGATGAGCTTTATCTCCTGACAAAATCCTACTGACATTTGGAGGTAGCTTGCCAACTACAGACTTCCCCACATTCAGTTCCTGAAAGCCAATTATAAGACACAATGTTCAAACATTAGCAAATTGATAGGCCGCATTTGAAACGGCTGAGAGCGACTGTTGAGTCTCTGATCACAGGTGATCTGTGTGATGATTTGCTGTGTGCTTTCTTTGGGTCAATCTTGATCTGGAATGAGTGGAAGCATGAAGTAAAACGCAGTCGCCACCTGAAAATAAATATACAATAAAATATCCTGGCTTTTTATAAAATCCAATGGCTGTTTTAATAGACATCAATAATGGCTGCGTGAAAACAAAAGATGGAAGTTGCAGTCTTCTTTGCCTCTGAACAGTTTGTTCAACCAGACTTTTTTCGGAGTATATTGCCGATTGAACCAAGATGCTGTTAGGTACATTAAAAATTAACAGAAACCACAAACAGAACCGCATGACTATAAATACTACCCACTTTTTAAAGTGTCTCAGAAAAGCTGCGGCTCTCTGCTGAAGTAGTTCAAGAAAAGAGCCACAATCTTCAGAGAGTTTCATCGTAAACAAAAATACCATATTCTAGGGGTCTGGAGACAAGGAAATTACTGTATTTTGGAGGCGAGAAAACACGGTTTTCCAGACAGTTTCCAATGCACCCCAGGGGGGGCAGCAAAGCGGAAATGGCAAGAAAATTGTTCCACCCTACAGCTGTCTATAGTTTAAAGTGAACCTTTGTAGAGAAAATAAGAAAACCAGAAACACTGGATGTCAGTTGAGATGATTTGAGAGTTAGATCAATATTACCTGTCTGTCTGTTCAAGCCATGTTTACACTAGGCAATTTCTGACTTGGATTTCCAACTCATTGTGTCAGTATGTATTCATCACCGGATATTTAGATCGTAAATATTTGATGAACCAAACTGAGGCTTTTGCTATGAACGACATCAGTGCCTTCATGTTTTTTCCTCTTTTTTGGGGGGCTCCATTTTGTTCTTGACAGAAATAATTTATGAACACTTCTCTGCTCTTGCGTCTGATGACAACTGAGAGGTGGAACAGTATTTTGTCCCCTTTTATGGTTCTCCAAAAACTGACAGCCCTTCTAACACGTCCTGCTTTTAAAATGTCTACTTTTCAATATTTCACCCAGTGCACTGCAGTGCATGACACATTCTGCAGTAGCCCAAAGCAACCCTGGTCTCAAAGGCTAAAAAGAATTTAAACAATAGTTCAGGTTTAATATTTAGGAGAGATAAAATAAATTAAATCATCAAATAAATACCAATTAACACATGAACAAAATGGCCATTTGACTCCACCAAACCTCAAAAACAGAACACTCAAATGATAATTTGGACTCCACTCACTTCACAATAGAACGCCTAATGCAGGGGTGTCAAACTAAATTCCTTTAGGGCCAGAGTCCTGCAGAGTTTTGCTCCAACCCTGCTCAAACACACATAGCATGTAGTTTTCAAATGAGCCTGAAGGGCTTGATTAGTTGGATCAGGTGTGTTTAATTAGGGTTGAATCTAAACTCTGCAGGGCTCTGGCCCTCCAGGAACTGAGTTTGACACCCATGACCTAATGGGAATTTGACTCCACCCACTTCAAAACAGAAAGTTCCCAGGGCATTTGTCTCCACCCAAATCAAAAACACTAGCTACATTTACAAGCAGTAAACCTGATGGCTCAATTGGACTGAAAAGCCTTCATGTAAACACCTTAATTGGGATCGGATTAGAAGGGGTGATGTAGACCTTTTCTAAACAGAACACTCAATGATTACTTTGACACCACCCACTTGGGCATTTAACTCCACCCACCTCAAAAACAATGTCTAATGGGAATTCGACTCCATTCAACCTCAAAAACTGTGCCCTCAATAATTGTGACTCCACCCACTTCAAAACAGAAAGCTCACTGGGTTTTACACTCCACCCACTTCAAAAACAATGTCTAATGGGAATTTAACTCCACCCAACCTCAAATATAGAACACTCAATTATTAGGTGCGTTCGACTTGAAGCACGGCTACAGACGGCGATCAACGAGAGTAGCCGCTTGCAGTCGGGGGCGGAGTTGAAAATGGAGCCGTCAAGCCGGACACTTTCTGCTCCCGTTAGTGACGCTCGCGCGGTGTTTGCATACTCTATCACAGATGAAGT